CATGGTATCTGACCAAATGGTTTTTACTACAGCGTCAAATTCTGCCCACAGTGTTCATATCTGAAGCGATGTTCCCTTTAAGCTGCGCTGGCGCGCAGCCATCTCAAAGACGCATCGCAGCAGTTTTAAGTATCCGCGCAGAAAAGTTCCATGTAAATGTGTATTTATGTTTGTGGGATGTAAAATTTTGCACACACACACAAAAAAATTGATGCTGTAAAACTTTGCACACAACTGTATGATTATGCCACTTACCAGCAAACCTTAGACGGAACATTGATCTGAAAATGAAATAAAGTTAGAAATAATTGATATTACACATAAGGCCATTAGTGGAAGGCTCAGGCTAATGATTCTAAACAAACATCATTTAAGAAGGCTTCTCCTAAGAAACCGCTTTATACCAGCTTCCTTTCGCAAACTTAATGATATAGAAACCCGATTTTAGGGTTTACAACGCATCGCCGGCACGGCATTTGTGGATAGTATGAAGTAAAGGCAGCATCACAATCCCTGGGAAAGTTGATTGCTAGTGTTGTAAAAAAAGATCAACAAAAAACGACCGGATGTCCTTGTGGTTGACATGATCAACCTGAAGGGTTGGTAACGGGCCGAGGGCTGCCCTATGGTGAAGATATCTCCAATGTACCACTTCCCCCGGATGTCCTTGTGGTTGACATGATCAACGTGAAGGGTTGGTAACGCGCCGAGGGCTGCCCTATGGTGAAGATATCTCCAATGTACCACTTCCCCCGGATGTCCTTGTGGTTGACATGATCAACGTGAAGGGTTGGTAACGGGCCGAGGGCTGCCCTATGATGAAGATATCTCCAATGTACCACTTCCCCCGGATGTCCTTGTGGTTGACATGATCAACGTGAAGGGTTGGTAACGGGCCGAGGGCTGCCCTATGATGAAGATATCTCCAATGTACCACTTCCCCCGGATGTCCTTGTGGTTGACATGATCAACGTGAAGGGTTGGTAACGGGCCGAGGGCTGCCCTATGATGAAGATATCTCCAATGTACCACTTCCCCCGGATGTCCTTGTGGTTGACATGATCAACGTGGAGGGTTGGTAACGGGCCGAGGGCTGCCCTATGGTGAAGATATCTCCAATGTACCACTTCCCCCGGATGTCCTTGTGGTTGACATGATCAACGTGGAGGGTTAGTAACGGGCCGAGGGCTGCCCTATGGTGAAGATATCTCCAATGTACCACTTCCCCCGGATGTCCTTGTGGTTGACATTATCAACGTGGAGGGTTAGTAACGGGCCGAGGGCTGCCTTATAGTGAAGATATCTCCAATGTACCACTTCCCCCGGATGTCCTTGTGGTTGACATGATCAACGTGGAGGGTTAGTAACGGGCCGAGGGCTGCCCTATGGTGAAGATATCTCCAATGTACCACTTCCCCCGGATTTCCTTGTGGTTGACATGATCAACGTGGAGGGTTAGTAACGGGCCGAGGGCTGCCCTATGATGAAGATATCTCCAATGTACCACTTCCCCCGGATGTCCTTGTGGTTGACATGATCATTGTGGAGGGTTAGTAACGGGCCGAGGGCTGCCCTATGGTGAAGATATCTCCAATGTACCACTTCCCGGTCTCATATTTAAAAGCATGTGTGATGACACAGTATATTATAAAATGTTTGTTTATAATTTGAGAGAAATCTAATAACACGATTCTCAATTGACTCTGACCATGACATATATTATACTACAAGCAATAATATGAACATGACAGAAAGTTTACTTCAAACACTATTATGAACATGACAGAAAGTTTATTTCAAGCATTATTATGAACATGACAGAAATTGTTTTCCAAACATTATTATAAACAAGACAGAAGGTTTATTTCAAACATTATTATGAACATGACAGAAAGTGTATTCCAAACATTATTATGAACAAGACAGACGGTTTATTTCAAACATTATTATGAACATGACAGAAATTAAACAGCATATATTACCATGACATGACAGATAATATACTGCATATATCACCATGATAGAACTGATAGTATTCTGTACATATTACCATGAAGTGACAGATAGAACACTTCATATGTTACCACGAAATGACAGATAGTAAACTACATATATTAAAGTGCTCCCGTGAATTATCAATCGATATGAATAGTAATTCATGGCTCTGAATTTCGTATTCGATTCCTCATCTCTTTGTTGATTTCTAAATTTGATTTTAAAATGATCTCTAACTTCTCCGTGCCAAAATAAAATAGGATAATCCGTCATATGAGTGATCTGTTTTTTTTTGAGACACACTGAACGTCACCATCTGAACGTCACCATCTGAACGTCACAATTTATGAGATGAAGAATGACATCAAGTGAGCTAGGTACTTCGCCAACTAAGACGATCGCCTATTTATCAACCGTCGGGGCATTGTTTTGCCTTTTGTGTTGGTTACACGGGAATTTTCTTCTCTAATTAAAACTTTCTAGTCCTCAGTCGGTATTTGTTTAAAGGCAATCTAAAACAATCGATTTAATTTCTTTTGTTGAAATAATAAATTTTTCAATGCAGCGACCATTTCTTGTTTAGTGCCCGTATTTATTTTACAACGTTGATCGATTTGTTTACCAGTATTTTGTATTATCAGTATCTTGCAAAGAATAGGTTGTCCTCCCCACGACTGCTCACAATCATACAGTCATTTCAAAATAACATGCATAGCACGTAACTTTCAATGGCGCTGCCTCTGAGTCATTCCCAGTCAGCAGCGGAGTAAACCAGGGTTGTGTACTGGCACCAATGCTCTTCTCCATTTTCTCCTCGATGCTCCTTCAATTTGCCTTCAGGGACTGTGAAAATGGAGTGTACGTCCATACAAGATCTGATGGTAGGCTGTTCAATATCGCCCGCCTACGTTCTAAGACCAAAGTAAAAAAGGTGCTGATTCGGGAACTGCTGTTCACTGACGATGCCGCCTTTACATCTCACACAGAAGAAGGTCTGCAGGGGCTGGTTAATCGTAAAGAGTTTGGACTTTCGATTAGTCTACAGAAAACACATGTAATGATGCAAGAAGCACCGTCCCCTCCAATCATTTCTATTGGGGGTCATAATGTTTCGGTTTTTGAGCATTTCACATAACTTCTCCATTGACCATTGTCTCACGAAGACGGAAGGATGCCATATAATATATATATATATATATATANATATATATATATATATATATATATATATATATATTATTCCTAAACTTGGAGAACCCCTGCCATTTTAGATTGCAAAAACATGAAAATAGTTTGATCCTTTGAACTAAAGGTTTGTTTTTCCCAAGGCAATCCGTCTACATTTGTGAACACATCAAAGATAAATTCTACCGGATGTTAACACAGAGCATTAAGGCTGGCGAGAGTGAAATTCAGACAACAGCTGGGTGAAACTGGTTCTGGGTGTATGGATGGGGTCAGAGGGGAGGGAAGACGTGTTTACTCTATATAAGCATTCATACAATGATTGGTATTTTTACACGGGGAAATCAGATTGCCGTTTGGTCATCTCCTGTAGCGTGCTCACGTGTTTACTGTCTTGACATCGGTGAGTGTTCTTAATGATTTATTTTTTAACGTTTTGTAATCAGTTCACACTTTAGCAATCGTGATTGGATGGAGTTAAGTATAAGCTCCCATGCCGTCTATAACTAGAAATTTTGATCACGGAAAACATTTTGCAAACACAACGCATTTTTATTATTTGAAATTGTGTCTGGTAGAAAGATATCTCAGACTAACACGCCATCTGTTAACACGCCATCTGTTAACACGCCTGTTATCTCAAATGCTCGAATAGTTTCTGGGCAGATTTTACCACCTCCTTCCAAGAGTGGCCGCAGTTTTCTCTGCTTATCGGCTCCAGATCTTGACATACTGAGCAAATGCCATTTGTAAGCAAAATGTTACTAACATAATCAGTGATATATCGGACGTTACATGTAAATTTGGCTTTTAATGTACCAAAAGGCAATTATTTATGAAACAAACTTTCAAGCTATTAAAGTCAAAAGATGCTCCCAAAGTTGTACTTTTCAGTGTGTCTCTGCCAGGAAAATGCTGTTTAAGATTCAAACAATAGCCTGACATCGCTTGCCCATATTATCTGTTTGCTGAGCCCAGTTAAATTATGCACTACGCATTAAAACTATTTTTTAAATTTCCTATCAAAAAGTGTTTCCTCGGGCAGAATGTGTTTAATACTTATTTACTGTTGGCTGCATGATTCACCTCGTGTTACTCAATAACATTGATTACATTTTTTCCTCAGACAAACACATTGATTACATTTTGTCCTGAGACCAACACATTGATTACATTTTGTCCTGAGACCAACACATTGATTACATTTTGTCCTGAGACCAACACAATGATTAAATTTTGTCCTCAGACCAACATATTAATTAAATTTTGTCCTGAGACCAACACATTGATTAAATTTTGTCCTCAGACCAACATATTGATTAAATTTTGTCCTAAGACCAACACATTGATTAAATTTTGTCCTGAGACCAACATATTTATGGAACTGTAAATTAACAGACGCTTCACACTTTGATTAAATTCTGAAAGGCAAATAAAAATTCCAGATGTCTTTGCGTGAAGCCAAGAACGTGTCTTAAGTAATGAATGACATCACACCCCACCATCTCCTTTGCTTAAATGAAATACTTGGTCCAGGCTGAAGATGTTTCACTTTCACTCACAAGAAGTTGTGTGTGTGTGTGTGTGTTTGGCACCGTTTCGTGATTAGAACCAAAAAAAAAAAAGGGGGGGGGGGGGGGGGGGGCTGGGTATAAATAAAGAATAATTGAACGACAATACAACTTGTGGATATAGCACTTCATGATCGAACATTTTTAGAAAATATTCGACGTTGCTCAATTTTTTTCATCTAGATATTGAAAATGAAATCGATTGTTGCAATTTTCGCCTTGGCGGTCTGCTACATGAATGTTGGCTTCGGACAATCAGACATTTTGGAGACAGACTGTCGGATTAATTGTCAAGTAAGTAGTATGCTATCTGTCATGTCAATGGTGAGTTGACTAATATACCATCTGTCATCGCTATGGTCAGGTGAGAAGTGTATTATATGTCATGTCCATGGTCATATAAGAAGTATGTTGTTAGATTTTTTATTTTTTCTCTAATTAAGTATCCACATGTTATCATATGGTGTGTAATCACACAACTCAATGCCAGCTCTGTATGTCTCGTTGTTGTCATCAGAGTTGTTTATATTTGTATTCCATTAAGAATGAGATTAAACGTATTAAAAAAGGTTTATTTTACAATTGAAATGTTTGACAAAAGTCAAGTCTCAGATAGTAAATATCTTTATGGCATTCCGGAATTTCTCTCATAACAATATTGCATATGTTACTATGTTAAGTTATGCAGTACTTGGCTATTCATATAGTTGTCAATAAGGTATACAGTGAATAGTAATATCAAATAATTGCTAGTAAGTTATATAGTGAATAGTTATATCAAACAGTTGTTAGTAAGTTATAAACTCGTTTTAAGCACAACTCTGTTTTTTGTATCTGCACATGTCACGTGGCTTGACATCAGAGCTTTGAACTTGGTGAGTCTGTGGGGAAAGTTCTTGATGGCTGTAACAACTGTTGGTGTGGACAAGGTGGCTTTATGTGTACGCTGATGGCTTGTCGGTGGTACCAGCCCCTAGATTGTGAGATTCGGGGACAGGTAACGGGGAAAAAATTAACAATCAGTATATATATTGATATAAATGTATATATACCTATCGGTTTCAATTTTACTTCATAATCCTTTTCTGATATTTCTCTTGTTACGGAAAAAATTATAGTAAACAATGATGAATTTTACGATTAAACTGACATATCTAAATAACCTACAATTTTAAATCACGAAATATTTAAGTAAAAAGTAATGCATGTGAAAAAATGCATATGTTTGATAAAAGGTGCGTTAAAAGAGACATTTCGTTAATTCATTTTCACAGCACTACAACAATAATGACGTCATTCCATCTGATGATTGCCAGGAATGTCGTTGTATGAATGGCAACCTGGCATGTACCAACTGTCCAAATTAAAAACTGGCTGAAAATGTGTGTGTAAGATCAAAGAGAATAGATTACATTTGTACTTTGGTGTGTGTAAGATCAAAGAGAATAGATTACATTTGTACTTTGGTGTGTGTAAGATCAAAGAGAATAGATTACATTTGTACTTTGGTGTGTGTAAGATCAAAGAGAATAGATTACATTTGTACTTTGGTGTGTGTAAGATCAAAGAGAATAGATTACATTTGTACTTTGGTGTGTGTAAGATCAAAGAGAATAGATTACATTTGTACTTTGGTGTGTGTAAGATCAAAGAGAATAGATTACATTTGTACTTTGGTGTGTGTAAGATCAAAGAGAATAGATTACATTTGTACTTTGGTGTGTGTAAGATCAAAGAGAATAGATTACATTTGTACTTTGGTGTGTGTAAGATCAAAGAGAATAGATTACATTTGTACTTTGGTTTTGAATATCGTGAACAGTAAAAAAAAAAAAAAAATTCTTTCTTTCAAACTCAATTTTAATTTTTGTTATTGTACTATCGTCATTTGTGAAAACTAACAACTATAATGCTGTTGTTAATTTTTTTTTAAATCCAAAATATTGAGGGTTGAGGATTTCATGAGTGCTATTTTAAATGATTTTTACCATCTTGGTGTAGTTGATTGCATTTATGAAAGAGGTATTGGAACGTTCTCCTTTTATGTAAAGCTCTAGGTTTGTATCATTTGTATTCAGTTTCTCAAAAGTAATTCGGGTCATGCACATTTTTAATGTTGCCGCCAAATATAAGATTTATGAAACTAGATTTTTATGAACACAATTTCACACACTTGAACTTACATTTTACAATGATGTGACTTTAGAAATATAGAAACCATGGATCACTAAATTTTTTCAAAATATGTTGTTGTTTTTTTTTTTTATTTATCGTATTTTTATTTAATTGGTTGATATTTTTAAAAATGTTGTTTGTTTTTTAGTTGGTTGTTTTTTTGTTTGTTTTTTTTTTAAAATGATTGCTACGTCATCAGTCTTAGAGGGCGTTAGTCCAGTAAATAAAAGAAAACTATAGTTAGATATAGAATCATTCATTTATATTGACCAACTGAATATCATTGTTTTGCTGGCATTTGGAGTTCATTAATTATTATTTATCAATGTCACAGTTTTTAATCAGAAATGATCAATTCGGGAAGACGTTGTCTTTTGCTGTACATTTTCATGACGTATCAAGACTGTGCTACCAAGGTCATCCCTACAAGACTGTGCTACCAAGGTCATCCCTACAAGACTTTTCTTACCAAGGTCATCCCTACAAGACTGTGCTACCAAGGTCATCCCTACAAGACTGTTCTACCAAGGTTATCCCTACAAGAATGTGCTACCAAGGTCATCCCTACAAGACTGTGCTACCAAGGTCATCCCTACAAGACTGTGCTACCAAGGTCACCCCTACAAGACTGTGCTACCAAAGTCACCCCTACAAGACTGTGCTACCAAGGTCACCCCTACAAGTCTGTGCTACCAAGATCACACTACAAGACTGTGCTACCAAGGTCATCCCTACAAGACTGTGCTACCAAGGTCATCCCTACAAGACTGTGCTACTACGGTCATCCCTACAAGACTGTGCTACCAAGATCATCCCTCTTGACCATTGCACAAAGTCTCTGATGTTAGAAATTTTTTTTTAAAAATCTTTTTATTGATTGCAGTCAGCGGGATTGTGGGATATCAAATATGACGCAGATTTCTTAAGTAGTATCGTTGCCATTAGTCTCATTAAAATCAAGTTTCATCAGAAGTAACTAAGGCTTGTAGACAAGGCCATCATCATGGCATATTTTTTATATACACTCAATCATTTATGAAGTAAATATTTTGACTTCATGTGCAGTGAGCTTCAGGTAGTGATGTTCCATGTACAGCCAGCTCAAAGTAGTGCTGTTCTATGTACATCCAGCTTCAAATAGTGCTGTTCCATGTACAGCCAGCTTTAAATAGTGCTGTTTCATGTACAGCCAGATTCAAGTAGTGCTGTTCCATGTACAGCCAGCTTCACATAGTGCTGTTCCATGTACAGCCAGCTCCAAGTAGTGCTGTTCTATGTACATCCAGCTTCAAATAGTGCTGTTCCATGTACAGCCAGTTTTAAATAGTGCTGTTTCATGTACAGCCAGCTTCAAGTAGTGCTGTTCCATGTACAGCCAGCTTCAAATAGTGCTGTTCCATGTGCAGTCAGCTTCAAGTAGTGCTGTTCCATGTACAGCCAGCTTCAAATAGTGCTGTTCCATGTACAGCCAGCTTCAAGTAGTGCTGTTCCATGTACAGCCAGCTTCAAGTAGTGATGCTCCAAATGTATATCCTGCTTCCAGATTCCAAAAGAGCTGCTCAACCAGCTTCAGTTCTGCAGAACAGAACAAAATGTTATCAAATAATAAACACTGAAATAAAATAATAAACATTGAAGTAAAATTATTACCACTGAAGTCATTTACCACACGATACAGCAATGGGGAATAAGAAGGGAAACTGTGGTGTGATATTTAAAACATGGATTACTCCCCTTTGGCTGGGGTTGTGTTCATCCTCTCTCTCCCATTATCTTACACTGTTATTATTTAACGTGTTCGTTTTTGGCATTTGTTCACATTCAATATGTATTTGTACACATTCAATATGTATTTGTACACATTCAATATGTATTTGTACACATTCAATATGTATTTGTACAATCTGTTTAGATTGAAATTTAAACATTCTAAATTAAACAACTTCGAGAGATTCATATTTTTATATGTTGGTTATTATATTTCAGCAATATCAAAATGTTTACGTAATTTCTTATGACGTAGTCACATGTGCTTCGAAAAAATTCTTGGAAAACTAAAAATCCTTTCCGTGTGTTAGGCATAGGAAACAAGGATAGATTCACCCCATACCTGAGCTCCTATGGGCAACAAGCAAACATAAGGTCTTATGGAAACCAGTATCAGTTTAACCACTACCTGAACTCCTGTGGGCAACAAGCATTCATTAGGTCCTATGGAAACCAGAATAGTGCCCCTATGTTAGCGCCTCCTCTGCCAGAAACAGAGAGACTTCCTTCTCGATACAACATCTTTAAGGAACTGCAATAGTTACCGTAACACTTAGCTCATTGTAATAATTTGAAATGTGTTTCCACTACCCGCTCTTAATTCTTATGCGCTTGCAGACTTTACGTAACCACGTCTGCGGAGATTCATCGTGGGGCTTCCAATGTGGTGCTCAATTGCTGACATGATATGTTAGATGAACCATTGGTCAAGTTTACAACTCGTACGTCACTCCGGGAAACAAACATTGGAGTCTTTTAACAAGTCCAGTTCGTCTCAGTGTAGATCACTCCGAGAAACGGTTACAAACTTTTACCAATCAAAGTCGGTTGGTGGGTGGGGGGGGAGGGGGGGGGAGGAGTGAAAGAGTTAACTGGTGACTTAAGAAATAAAACGAACATAAAAAAAGTGTGGAAGTTGGTTGCGTATAATAGCTGGTCAATTGGAAGCAAAAATAGCTTTTAATATTTTGAAAGAAAATGTTAATTCCTATTTGTTACAGCACTTGAACTAAAGAGAGAAAAAAAATATGTCTCTACTTTTAAGATTAAGGTTTCATGTGTGTAACATAATTATGTTAATCATCTAGATCAGGGGCGGGAACCTTTTTGTCTGAGAGAGCCATGGACACCACATATTTTGAAAAGTAATTCTTGTGAGAGCCACACATTATGTTTAAAACTAAAAATTAAGATAAATGAGTGCATTTTGTGTAATTTCAACACTAAAAATGCAATAATTATGTCTCTGAATTCTTTTTAATAACATTGTTTAAAGCTGTTGCTCATCAATACTGAGTATATCTTACCATCAATGCGACTTTTTCTTTTTTTTATAATCCAACATTTGTGTGCGAGCCAGATGCAGCCATCAATAGAGCCACATCTGGCTCGCGAGCCATAGGTTCCCGACCCCTGATCTAGATAAAAATATTCCCTCTCACTTTCTTTCACGCTTTATATGAATGTCCGAAAAGTATTTACAATACATTGTTTGATATGAGTATGTTGTTTAACCTCATAAATATGTGCCCACCCTTTATCCGCACCGTTGAACTTTAGCTTTTGAAAATGAAGAAAACCTAGATGGCCTGAGTTGCAACCAAAATAGAATCCTCTATTTTCCATTTTCCAACATTTTTTAGGTATGGATATGTCCTTTTTTTTTAATGTAAATGCCATTGAACTCTATTTCCTTACATTGGTTTAACACAATTTTAATTAAAACTTGTATGTAACGAGTGTAATATCATCGGAGGTAAAGAGAGCCATCCACATAAAACTTGTATGTAACGAGTGTAATATCATCGGAGGTAAAGAGAGCCATCCACATAAAACTTGTATGTAACGAGTGTAATATCATCGGAGGTAAAGAGAGCCATCCACATAAAACTTGTATGTAACGAGTGTAATATCATCGGATGTAAAGAGAGCCATCCACATAAAAATGTAAGCATCGTCATCACTCGAAATATGTTTATAGAAGAGGGTTAAATATATTATTTAATTAGTTCTCAAACTACCCATGCACCGATTGCCGGTGTGTTAGGACTTTAAGCTTTTGATTAACTGTACTTATGAAATACGCCAGGCGATAAAACGTGGCGTAATTTCTGCTGTCTTGGGCACCAAGTCATACTGTTGCGATTAATGTGTGCTGTCTTGGGCACTAAGTCATACTGTGGAGCTTAATTAGCGCTGTTTTGGGCAACAAGTCAAAGTGCTGAGCTAAATTTGTGCTTTCTTGGGCACCAAATCCTACTGTGCCGCTTAATTTGCGCTGCCTTGGGAACCAAGTCATACTTTGGAGCTTAATTTGTGCTGTCTTGGGAACCAAGTCATACTGTGGCGCTTAATCTGTGTTGTCGTGGGCACCAAGTCATACTGTGGAGCTTAATATGTGCTGTCTTGGGCACCAAGTCATACTGTGGCGCTTAATCTGTGTTGTCGTGGGCACCAAGTCATACTGTGGAGCTTAATCTGTGCTGTCTTGGGCACCAAGTCATACTGTGGCGCTTAATCTGTGCTGTCTTGGGCACCAAGTCATACTGTGGAGCTTAATCTGTGCTGTCGTGGGCACCAAGTCATACTGTGGCGCTTAATCTGTGCTGTCGTGGGCACCAAGTCATACTGTGGAGCTTAATCTGTGCTGTCGTGGGCACCAAGTCATACTGTGGCGCTTAATCTGTGCTGTCGTGGGCACCAAGTCATACTGTGGAACTTAATCTGTGCTGTCTTGGGCACCAAGTCATACTGTGGAGCTTAATCTGTGCTGTCTTGGGCACCAAGTCATACTGTGTCAACACACCTATGTTACTAGCGCACACTTTTTGCACACCAGTAAACCAAGCAACCATTAGAATCTCCCATGTCAGTTTGACCACGCAGTGTGTTACATTTTATTTTATCATTATTTCAATCAATGCTTACTGATGCATATTTTTTTTGGAGGTACGTTTCATTCTTTTGAAAATTCGCCCTTGAATGTAACAACAGAACATTAGTAAATCGTAGTTCACAATTCTATTTTAACTTCTTTGTACACCAACATTCAAGTCTCTAGATATGAGCTAGATATGAGCTAGATATGAGCTAGATATGAGCTAGATATGAGCTAGGGTATCCATGACACGCTCAAGTAACTAATTAATTTATATCGGTTCGATCTCCTTCAAAATAATGATAGGAATTTTTTTTTATTATTTTACGGAAATCGAATCAACTTAAACGCTTGAAAAATAAAATATTTCCACTTTTATTTAAGTGAAGGTTTAAGTGTTATCATTATAATTTACTAATACATTTAAAATAAAAATTGAGTAACTACTTTAAGCTAAGTTTAAAGCTATTTAAAAAAATTATATCCAAAGTATCATCTAAGAATTATTTTTATGAAATCATTAAACCTAAACAAAGTAAACACATATAAATGAAGTCATTGCGCGAATTGCCGATTTTAGGCAAAGCTCCAAGTTTCTTTTCTTTAATAACCACGGGTGATAAAACTGATAGTGTATCCCTCTTTATAGGTAAAATTAATAATTAGGCCTATAATTGATTGCTTTTTAAAATTTTTAATAAAAGACAGCTGATTTTAGCTTTGTATTTTTAACATTTAATACGTTGTTTTTTTTATGCCAAATATATACTTTCAGTAAATTATAAAGAAATAAAAACTTAAGATTTAAATTTACTATTAATTAAAATAGGTTTAAGTTTAAAATAAGTATTAAGTCTGTATAAGCCAGACAGTGCAGATAAACTTCATAGCCAAATAGCCATCACTAACGCACTTATCATTCATCCAAATAATAACAAGCCATATGAAGTTGCCCTTGGTTCATTTTTATATTTATATCTAAGAGACCGCAAAGTGCGTGCAATTCTTATCCCTACAATATCGGGTCATATAATCGAATACTTCAATAATAAACTGCAGATGTTTGGATTTCCCAGATAACTGTGATCACCAATTAAAAATATTAATTACATAGAGGACCATTCGCTCAAATTCGGATAAAATAATTAAAATAGTTCGTTAAATGTTATATCAAATTTATTTCTAATTTCTAATAATAATATTTATATAAAACATATAATTAAATTTAAAACAGATATAGTTTAATTGTATATTATTTAAATTGATTCGATTGTAATTAAATATAGAAATTCCCTTTCATTCTTGTAAAAAATTAGAACGTAATTAAATTGATTCGTCTTTTTAAGAGATGTCAGGTTATTCTAATATACTTGAATATATGACCCGATGTTACCGAGATATAGTGGTAGGCATTAGTCGTTACTCTCTACATGCTTTTGCGAAGTCTCATCAGAATGTCTTATTCTAATATATATGTTTACATTTTGTTTTGAGAAATATTTATCTGCTGTCTTACGTCTGTTATATAGGTCTACCAGACACCTTTCCGTGCCCCTGAACTACATTTATTATTTTCTAAAAATTTAAAAAAACATGATCTTAAATTTACTATAAGCATTTTTGACAAATGGGTAAGGCTTCGTGGACGGCCGTGACTGTTTGCAAAATGAACTTGAGGGAAGCCAAAATAGAAATCAACGAATTGGAGATCATTGCTGAGCACCGTTTCAGATGGCGAACAGCGGTGAATGAACGAGTCAAACAGGCAGAGGATGTGCGAAACAAATCCTTGCAACGAAGAGAGCGTCATGGGAGGTTAAATTTATACAGAAATAAAGTTCTCCATCAAAAAGTGCAGACGAGACTGCCTCTCAAAAATCGGTCTCGTAAGCCATTTGATCAGGTGTCAATCGCTGCTACATCGTCTCAAGAGGACAGAAGGATGCCAATATATATATATATATATATATATATATATATATATATATATATATATATATATATATATATATATATATATCTCTTTTAAAAACCCTCTCTATATATATTGTACCAAATATAAATATTTTTTTTTATATATATATATATATATATATATATATACATATATATTCCTAACTTGGAGAACCCCTGACAATTTAGAATGGCAACAACATGAAACTATTTTTTATCATTTGAACTACAGCTTTGTTTTTCCCCAGGGCAATCCATCTCCTTTTGTGTACACATCAACACACAAATTCTACCGAGATGTTATAGAGTGAGGCTCACAGTTGTTGATGGCTGGCGAGTGTGAAGTACGGACAACAGCTGGGTGAAACTATGCCTGGGTGTACGGATGGGGTAAGAGGAGGGGAGGGGGGAATGTGTTTACTCTATATAAGCATTCGAACAATGATTGGTATTTTTACACCTAGAAATCAGATCGCTGTTTTGGTCATCTCTGTAACTGTGAATTGGTTAATGCGTGGACAGTGGTGAGTTGACTTTAGGATTTTTTTTTTAACGTTTTTATTAGTTAACGCTTGAGCAATCGTGAGTCACACCAATGTAGGTCAACATCAACGTCTATGTGGTCTGTCATTAGCTTTTTGTTTTTTGTAAAGCAAAATAAAATACACACACAATGCTGGGTGTCAATAATTTATTATTTATTGTTGCCTGTAACAGAATGTTAACATAGACCATCACAAAAAATCTGGTATCTCATATCACAAGAATCGGGTATCTCATATCACAAAAATCACGTATCTAAAATGTTCAAATTGTTTCTGGGACGCTTTCACCCAACCAATGTCACTGATACTATTGCCTGTTAAGTTTAAATATATGCTTTTTATATAACAAACCCAACATTATTATGATTCCAAAACCTTGATAACACAGACCATCACAAAAATCTAGTATCTCATATGTTCAAATTGTCTCTATGCAGCTTTTACTAGATCATTCAAAAATTGGCACCAATTTTCTCATATCATTTCTAGCTTTTTAGATACTGAGACAATGCCATTGTTAAACATAATGCTAACAACCAAATACAGATACTGTAGGCTGTTAATCGTTCTTCTTCATATAGCGAACCCCCCCCCCATTTCCCCCCCCCACACAGTTTATGATTTAAACTTTAAAGCTATGCGATTCAAAAGACGCCCCCACTGCATGTGCGCCCGCAGGTAGTGGCAAGGTGGGGCACTTGCCCCCCCCCCCTGGATTGATTGGATAACATTTTTTTAGACAAAAATTTTATTAAAGTAAAGAGAACATAAAGAGAAAGTAACTAAGCTGATGTCCTGTCCGCTCGTTCACCATACAAATACGCTACAGTAAATTAAAACTATATTAAAACATTATTAAAAAATTTTTGCCCCCCCCCCCTGGTAAGTTAATCGATTTTTTGCCCCCCCCCCTTGGAAAGTTTTCTGCGGGCGCCCATGCCCCACTGTAAGACTTTTAAATGTTTGATCTGACAGGAAAATGTTGTTTCCGATTCGAACAATAGCCTGGCATCATGCGCCCAAATTATATTTTGCTGGGTCAAGGTTGCTAAAACACTTCGAATTAAAGCATCTACATGCTTTCTTCAAATCTGTCACTGTTTCTTCGGGAGGTAACAATTATAAACCGCATTTTGTATGATTCACCTCGTGTTACTTAAGCATCATTGATCACATTTTGTTCTCAGACCAACGAAGTTAGTGAACTGCTTTGAATTGAAAATGAAAAGACTATATTCTTTTGACTATATTCTTTTGACTATATTCTTTTGACTATATTCTTTTGACTATATTCTTTTGACTATATTCTTTTGACTATATTCTTTTGACTATATTCTTCAAGTCAAACACTCCTCAGAATTTCACTGTTGTTATTGAATGGTTTTAAGAACTTTTCTTCAGTAAAGAATGGCAGAAAGTCTTACTTCTCTTAAAACTAAGGTTTGCTCCTATATGACGATGATTCCATGTCACTTACAAGAAGTTTATTGTTTCTGGAAATAGTCTATAAATATTACACCTGTTGGGCATAAGACTTAGTTATCGAACAATTGTTAGTAATAATTTGAAGTTTCTTCATTTTTTTCCCCCAGATTTTAAAAATGAGATTGTTTGTTACAATTGTTACCTTGGTATTCTGCTGCATGGATGTTGGTTTTGGAGAATCGGAAATTACTGAGTCAGTCTGTCGGATCAATTGTGATGTAAGCAGTATGTTATCTGTCATGTCAATGGTGATTTAAGCAGTATGTTATCTGTCATGTCAATGGTGAGGTGAGTGGTATATTATCTGTCATATCCAAGGTGATGTAAGCAGCATTGTATCTGTCAAATCCGTGGAGATGTGAGTAGTATATCATCCGTCCTGTCAATGGTGAGGTAAGCGCTTTATTATCTGTAATGTCTATGTTGAGGTTAGTAGTATCCATATCCAAGGTGATGTAAGCAGTATCGGGTTAGATTTTACTCTAATTAAGTATCTACATTTTATCATATACTATGTCATCACACTACTAAATGTCATTTCCATAAGTCTAGTAAATGACATCGAGAAACCTGCATACATTGTTTATTTAATCAAGAAAGAGATTTAACAGTATTTAAAAGCTTTAATTAACAATTGAATTGTTTGACAAAAGTCTAGTCTGAAACAACAAATATCTGTATACTATTCTTAAACTTCTTTCATAACAAAATTTCATACATTAATATGTTATGTTATGCAGTACTTTACTCTTTCATATAGTTATTAGTAAATTATATCGTTATAATTTACATCAAATAGTAAAATCAAATAATTTTTTTTTTAAATTTTAAACGCATAATTTTCTATTCATTTTAACTAAATTTTCATTTTTGTATCTACACATGTCACGCGACCTGACATCAGATCTATGCTCTTGGTGCGTCTATCGGGAAAGTTCTTGATGGCTGCAACAACTGTTGGTGTGGAAACAGTGGCTTTGGCTGTACAAGGATGGCTTGTCCGTGGTACCAGCCCCTGGAGTGTGAGATCCAGGGAAATGTAAGGAAATAGTTTCACAATAGCTCTATATATATTTAATAATTTATAATGATCTTGGAATTTTTACATCATAAACCCCTTTTGATATTTCTCGTGGAACGGAAAAAATGTAATAAGACGCTATGAAATTAAAATTACGATTTGATAATATTTCGAATAACCTACAATCTTAAAGTTCAAAATAGTTAAGTAAAAAATATAAAGGTGAATGAATGCATAGGTTAGATAAAGTAAACGTTAAATAAAATATATTTTTTTTTTCTAATTATATTTCACAGCACTACAACCATAATGACATCGTCCCATCTGATGATTGCCAGGAATGTCGATGCATGAATGGCAACCTGGCTTGTACCGGCTGCCCAGCTTAAAATCTGGCTAAAAAATTACATTTTAGATTTTAAAAATGGAGATTCTCAATCACCTTTCTTTTTGAATAACATGAGCAGTAAAAAAAAAAATGGAATTTCTTATAAATTGTAAAATTGAAGTTGTTGTTTTTTTTAAATTGCAATTTTTCATGACAATTTTGTAGTTGTTATTTTGGTTTGTTTTAATTTGTTTGTTTGTTTGTTTGTTGGTTGGTTTGTTGTTGTTTTTTTTCCGGAGTGGTTTTGGGGTGGGGGTATATTAGATTTGAATTGGGAAAAGTGACTGGGGAGGATTTTAGTTATTTTTTTAAATTACTTTTTAATATCTTGACATCTTGGGGTAGTGTATAGCACTTAAGAAAGTAGCACTTTTTAAAGCTAGATATTTTTTTTGTTGGCATAATTTGTTACTAATTTTTTTTTAAGTAACTCAGCTCATGGACATAGTTTAAAATTTAGTCGCCGCAACATAATAAATTTTGCGAAGCAAATTTTTTGATGGATACAATTTTCAAGCTTGAAATAACATTTTAAAATGACGCAAATATATTTTTTATTATTTTTTTTTTAAATATGGAAGCTCAAGACCTGAAGGTTATGCTAACAAAATAATTTATTTAAAATGTGTCTAAATTTTAGTTTAGTTTATTTTTATTTTTTTTGAAATATGGAAGCTCAAGACCTGAAGGTTATGCTAACAAAATAATTTATTTAAAATGTGTCTAAATTTTAGTTTAGTTTATTATTTTTTTTTAACGTTAGTTTGTTTGATGAATGGTTTGTTGATTGGTTTGATGATTGGTTTGATGATTGGTTTGATGATTGGTTTGTTGATTGGTTTGTTGATTGGTTTGTTGATTGGTTTGATGATTGGTTTGATGATTGGTTTGTTGATTGGTTTGATGATTGGTTTGTTGATTGGTTTGATGATTGGTTTGTTGATTGGTTTGATGATTGGTTTGATGATTGGTTTGTTGATTGGTTTGATGATTGGTTTGTTGATTGGTTTGATGATTGGTTTGATGATTGGTTTGTTGATTGGTTTGATGATTGGTTTGATGATTGGTTTGTTGATTGGTTTGATGATTGGTTTGTTGATTGGTTTGATGATTGGTTTGTTGATTGGTTTGATGATTGGTTTGATGATTGGTTTGTTGATTGGTTTGATGATTGGTTTGTTGATTGGTTTGATGATTGGTTTG